CCATTATCGATATCAGCATCCAATACCAGTACAAATATCCGTATCAGCATCTAAGAACCACACTTTTGCATCCAATTATAAAAACAATATCTGTATCAGTCTCCAAAAACCTCACCATTATCGGTATAGGCCTCTAATACATAAACCAATATCTGTATCAGCATCTATCAGCTAACCTTACTTTTAGCATAATGGGAATCAAACTTGACTAAAAACATTCTCTGTATTGGCCTACAATCACCATGGAAATATGTTATCAGCCTTTAATATTCTCCAACACAGCAGGGATCTGTTAAAATAAACCATTAGTCCCCGTACAAATCTTTCCAAATTTCCAGCATATTATCTCTCAAACACAACAAAACAATAAAAGTACCTTACTATCAGAGTATGTAATGTTCATCAAAGCTAACAAAATAATGGCAGTCAAAGTGTATCCAACAATATTAAAAGAAAAAAAAACCATCATACTAGTTTATGCAGGGTACTCTTATCCACTGATACTTAAGTCTAGGTATGGGAGTCATTACTGGGAAGGAAAACGATAAGACAGCATCTGTACAAATTGAGTAGTCCTGATAGGGATACCAGTATCTGTGTCAGCCTCATATTCTGCCTTAAAGTGCAGTATGGGCTGTCGGCAAGTGTGCTAGTCTGTGCAAAAATCCATCATCATAACCAGTTAATCAAAAAAATAAATCTGTTTCAGACAAATTATTGGGTGAAAATAACGAACAACAACAGTATGGTGCTTGAAGAGATTGCAACGTTAGTTTAAGCTTGCCAGATATTGATCAGCAATGTTTTTACAACAAAGTTATGTATATTATATTTTTAATTACATCAGCATCCGAGGGGTACTTGGAATCTGCCAATACTCAAGTCAGACTACAGACTTTCTTTTATTTATTCCTACCTGTATCTGAGCGGTATTGGTCAATACTTAGGTCTAAGTATCCAGAAGTAAAAATGGTATCTTTACAGCTCTACTACTGTAGGTGTCCAGTATAGGTATCAGCCTTCTACACTGCCTTAAATAAAGTATCGGCATGTATGCCAATCGATAACTAATTAGCCCAAGTAAATAGAATGGTTTCGAGTATATTATTTTGTGACAATAACAAACAATAACAGTGTGGTGCGAGCCGTTAGAGTATTGTTAGTCAAAATGTCCAGTTCTCAAATCTCTGTATAAGAAAGGGAAACCACTCTAATATCTCTAAAATCAAACCCTCTGCAGTCCCAATCACACACAGCGTGACGTAATGGACACCTTGAGCACTTATCACTCTACCCATAATCCTCCTGCACTCTGCATATTTCCTCACAGCAGTGAATTAAACATTCCCTTCTTAGGTTAAGTCCCATTACTGTGAGGATTATCTCTAAAGACTGGAGATGCTCCATACGGCCTGTTATTAAGACTGGTTTGGAATATACACAATGTGACTTGATGGATGTTACGCAGACTTTGGTCATCGTTGTAATTTAGAGCAACCCGGACAACATCTCTGACGTTCCTGTGATCTGACATGAAGCCACGCTCATCATTCACTGGTGGATGATCAGGCCAATGGAGAGAGGTTTTTGTGTTGGAGGAGAACTTACTTTCTGCGTATGGTGGCGCTGGTGTTGGTGTCCGTGCTGTCGGTGCGTTCGAGCCGGTCTCGCTCGGTGGTGTTGGAGCCGCAGGAGAGACCTCGGGTCAGCCTGGTGTGGCTCCTCCTCTCCCTGCTGGGCCCTGGAGTTGTAGCCGTTCCAGTCGATGCCTGGGGCGCAGAGGTACCACTGTTCCCAGCGCTCCCACCTCCATGATGGATGGGCAGGGTCAGAGGCTGGCTGTGGTTGTGGTTCTGCTCAGGGGTTTCCAAGCCAGACCCGTGTGGGCTGCGTTCCTGCTTCAGGTCCTGGTTCTCCTGGCTGACCCGGTCCAGCTGGCCTTCCAGCTCCTCAATGCGGCGGCGCTGGGTCTCCAGGAGCTTGGCCTGGCTCTCAATGATGTTGTTGAGCTCCAGCAGGTACTCCACTGCCCGGTTTGGGCTCTCCGGGCTGGTCTCCATGGTGGAAACCCTGCCTTTAGGATTACGACCACCACGGTTTTGACCCCCGTGGGGGCCTAGATCCACCCCCCCCACCAGCCCTGATGAGTGGGGGGGAGGGAGGGACCAACGACTAGTGAAGATTTACTGCTGCCGTTGGATGTTCAGAAACAGAGAGTCACTGAGATTAGGAGTTCTTGCAGCTCAAAAAGACTACATATCCCCAAATGTGAGGGCAAAGACGAGCATTACAGCATTTTCACGGCCGTTAAAAGGGTTGCAATGCAGAGAAAAGAGTTCAAGGAAAAGGAGGAGTTCAAAATACTGTCGCTTGTCTGATTTCCAGAAGTCATTTTCAAAGCCCATGCCAAATCTGCATGGAGTGCGTCAAGAGTTGGGGGCATCATGATGGATATTAATCATCAAACTAGATATAAGAAAAAAAACTGAGTCTGGCTAATGGGGAAGCAGTGACAAGTAAACATCAATTATATCAGGCAAAGGCTTGATTTAATGGCTCTCTAATCAAGTAATTACATGGCAATATGAAAAAATGTAATAAATATTCATTCACCTGTGCCATATTTTTTTTTTTATAAAACGTTTAAATCAAGCACTCTTTAAGCTCTACTTAAGGGAAAAGGGGAAAGGGGATGATTGGGGGAGATGATATTTAAGATCGACCACTAATTATCAGTTGTTGTCAATCATTACATAACACAGAAATTTCTGCTCCCTCCCACGTTGAGTATCCCCGCAGTCTATCATCGTCGCTTTCAACCCATGGCTCGATGTGTCTCTACAGCAACATGAAGTAAGCACAGGTAGCTCACGAAGTTCATTCTTAGGGTTTCAAATCCTCCCTTCTACTCCAGATAAAGCTACATCTTACAGTTTTAAGAGTCAGATCAGTTCCTCTTGGTGTGCGTCTCTGGGATTTGTCATCCGAGATAAACGTAGAGTTTGGACTTCCTCGTCACACAAACACTGCGCTTGGAGATAAACTTTGTTAAGGAACGCAAAAACTATTAGGAATTGGTTCTGACCGCCCGAAAGTCTCAATAAGCTGTGCCAAAAAAAAAAATCTTTAAACCGCACTTTCGTGTTTGCAAAGGGTTCAGGTCGCTGATCTGAAAAAAAAAAAAAAAAAAAGGATTTATGCGAAAACGGTTTATTTGTTTCCTACTTATCTGAGTGGAGTTTGGCGGTGGCAGGTCAGTAATCCACGCAGGAGGAGCAGCGGCGAACCTTCTTTAGCGGATCCGCAGAAACACAGAGGTTTCTCTGAACTGCAGCGATGCGTGCGGCTCTTCCTCTGACAGCATCACCGACAAGTTAGACATAAATACACCGAACATCCGGTTAGGATTTTCAAAATAAAAGTGAGGTTACAAAAGGTTGAACCAGATTCCTTAGCAAGGAATTTACCAATTGAAATACATCGCTTGTTTAAAAACAGACACACAGAATAACAAAGAAGTGATTTAAAAAAAACACAAAAAAAACCATTGGTTTCTGAATCTGCCAAGAAGCTATATTGTTATTTTGAACATAGGTAGGTATTTTTGCATGGACCATGATTTTCACAACTGGTGGATCTCTTGTAGATAACCTTACTTTTCATAATTTTATTGATGTAGTTTGCATGATAATTAATTCATTATTAACCAAAACACTGATCACAACTTTTTCATCTTGATCAAATTGGCTTATTTGGATTAATGCTACTATTATATGAATGCTGTTAAGCAAACCAGCTGGTCATTGGTTTTTTCCTTGCATGATGATAATTAAAACCATCTGAATAATGAAATGTCAACTCGAGTTAACATTAAGAGCAACATCTTCACTTAATTTCCAGTCTCTTGTGTCTCTGTTTTCACGAATGACCTTCTATAAAACAAATAAATAAGGGTAGAAAGATATAGTAATTCAATACATAATGTGCATTTTTTTTTTACACTAAAGTTTTTGAAATTTGGAGATACATGTTAATGCAATTTTGCAATGTTTACTTTTTATTTAAAAAAAAATGTAATGAAAATGTGCGATGTCGCTGGTGGCATTTTATTTTGAAGGTACTACCCGGGTTTAACTTTACGTCTTTCTTTGTACCTTGACACACTTCAGGAATCCTGTTGAGCTCCAGTGGACAATCGTGCACATGTAAAAAAACAGTAATACTGTAAAATGAAATGTGGTCGCCTGCAGGGAGGTGAAGACGCCACATTCTCCTCCATTAAAACATTTTACATCATTCTTATTTTTCAACCTGAACTGAAGTCGTTTGGATAGTTTAGGCCCACTTATTTTAGGCCGATCTTCTTCTGACTCCACAACAGTGAAACTGACTGCAGCGCTGTTCAAACTGCGGTGATTTTTTTTTTTTTTTTTTTTTGCATCTGAGCTGACATGAACAGAAGGATGCAGCTTAGGACAACATGAGAGCGAAGCAGCCTCAGAGCGGCGTTATTTTTAGTGACAGTACTTAAGTGCTCATATCTGAACTGAGACGCTGGGCTATGAATTCACCCACTTTTCCCCCTCGCGCTCTATAATAGCTCGCACAGGTGTACAGTAAAGGAAACTAATATTAGACTGAGCGATGGGCGTGCAGAGGAAATGTAAGATCCATGTTCTTGCAAAAAGCAGGTTTAATAATTGATCTTTGGAAAAATGATCAGATTTTTTTTTTTACCCTTGTTGCATGTCTCATTCAACTTTTACATCTTATTCTTTATTCCCAAGCACACATCTCACCCTATTTCTGACTATAGAAGCTTTTCTTTGGGGCACATCTGACTTAATATCTCCCACACGCCAAACCCTCTCTTTAATATGCTGCACTGTGTCCTACAGTTTTGCTGCCATCTGCTGTCCATAACACCGACTTGTCTGTTAGTGTTAAAAAAAATAACAAAAATAAAGCAATAAAGCAGAAAGACATGCATGACCACTGAGGAGATTGGTTCAGCAGTTTATTTGGAGTTTTATTAGAACATGTTTACAGTTCAGCCATATAACCCCCCCCTTAGGAAATGAAGGTCTAAAAAAAGAGCTTTAGCAAACCTTATAAAACAACTCTGACATATAGGATACCAAGCTACTCTGAACGCTCATTGGTTGGGGAATGCAGTATGTTGGTGTGGTCACTGTGCTGTGCAGCATAGCAACGCAAACACATGGTCAGGGCAACACGTTGGTTTGGGTATAAAATGAAAGAATATGTTCATTTTTAGAATCAACCTTTAGATAATGATGGGTTGGTAACAAACAGCTGTAACAGTCTGCGTCTCCTAATGCTGCCTTAAAGCCAAAAAAGAACAAGAAAGAAAAAAGCTCTAACATTTAAATAATGTGTTATGAAAATGGTCTGAAGTCACTTTGTCGCTTCTTTCCTCTTAATAATGGCTTATCTATAGAGCTTAAAACCTGAGTATTTCCAAAAAGATAATTTCATAGAAAAATAAAATCTCACAGTATCCGTTAAGTCTGTTTTTTTTTTTTTTTCAACAAGAGAACTATTAAAAAAATGAGAGCAAAAACTAAAGGATGTGCTATTTTGCCATCTTAGACGCACACTGAGTTTTATCCTAAGTTTAATCTTTGTAGATTTACAGTAAGGGGCCTTTTTTTCTTTCTTTTTTTGGCATGACTGAAACTACTTAACGGCTCGCCCACTTTTCCCCGTATTAGAGACCTCAGAGCAAAAAGGGTTTTCACAGTAAGAAAAATCAGCAGTTAGGATAAAGTGATTTATGTTACCAAGGCAACTGTACGTGGCACGATGGGCACAGCACTCACTAGAATCAAGATCGTGTTTTTGTTCTGACCCCACATACACAATATTATTAACAGTACTGGAAATATGCACACTGCATATGCATATTTTTGGCATTTTCTTTTCTGACTTCTGAAGATGGGTACAACACAGAGCTTCCTTATCCACACCGGAGCAGCTTAATACTAAACATTCATGTCTGAATAATCAGGTACAATATAGTCTGTATTTACTTTATGAGCCTTCACAAAAGCTATATACCACTTCTCACATGATTTCTCATCACACTATAATAAATAACATGTATGGGTATCTGTAGTGTTTAATATAGATATACTGCATATGTATATTATTCTATTTATTGTTACGTATTACAATATAGTAATACAAACTTGCTCCAGTTAGTACAGTATTTACAATAGGTTCTGTCATTTATTTCTGTACATATATTTACAGAATATAGATTTCACACCTGCTGTCCAAAAAGGGGATTTGCATGATCACAATCAGTGAAATGGAACAACGTTACAAGTCGAAAGCAAGTGACCACATAAGAGGATTTTGAACAAACACGTCACACAGTGTCCTCTTAGATCAGATCGACGTGGCGCAGCGGAAAGAATGTGCTGTCTGTGACAGTTGCATTATTATTGCTCAGTGTCTTCATGAGGTATAAAGTGAACGTCTGTACAGTCTCTGTACAGTAGGGGATGATTAAGAGAGGGGAGGCTCGGCTAAAGTGGCAGAGATGCAGAGAGTCGAGGAAGTCATTCAGACAATACCTTGTTGTCCTGGAAACTAGAGATGTTCTGATGCCATTTTCTTTTCTTCCCGAGAACCTAGACTTGAGTATTGGCCTATTTCAAAGCACCCCTCTGATACGGGTGTGATTGAAAAGAATAACGTCCTTATCAATGTGAACGGCTTCAGTCTATACTACTAACCAAGTATGCACGTCATATGATTACAGCCATTGTTGTAGGGCTCAGTCTAATAAAGGAAAATCAATTTGAATTATACATTTGCGTTAGCTCTGCTTCTTCTCTGCTGAAGCGTGTTGAAGCTAACTTTAATTTTTAACATAAATCTTTTTCTGTTTCTGGGTTTATAGCAGTTAAAATCATCCTCACTCAAGTTATAAGTAACTGGCATTGACCCTCTTTCAAACAGCACACTGCTGTTTGTGTTGTAAATTGCATTTTATCAGTGTGTAAGTTTCTGTTTTAGAGAGAAGACACAAAGTAAATGTTTTTGGTGGAGCTGATGGTATCAGATGGGTGCATTGACTAGCTTCCTCGCCAATATTGGTTACTGCATTATCCGTTAAATCAAAGGGCATCTGTTCCACCGGGTTGGTGCTGGAACATCTCTAGTGGTACTAGTGATTACAAGAGCAGCAAACATAAAAAAAAGGAGTGTATCATTTTTAAAATAGTTGACTCAACAGTAAAAGGTGACATAATTTTTTTTAGCATGTTGGTGCATTGACAGGCTAAAATAAGATTTTTGAACATTGAACACCTGCCAGAGGTCAGCTGTAAAAAGGCACAAAGAATATGACTTTATACTACTGCAGATATCAAAGTGACTATGAGGAGATGTTGGTACAAAACGAGTCAAAGTCTAACAGTGAGAGACCGACCGACTCAGCTACTTCTTGTTAAAAAGTAAAGAGAAAGGGTTTCTTCTTCTTCTTCTTCCTCCCTCCTGCCCTTCCCGCCTCCCGGGACTACCACCCTCCTCTTCGACCTGAGCCTCCCTTTGTTGACTGGGTTGGAGCCAGGGGCCTGGCACCACCGCAGCTCTGCGCCTGCCTGCTTCTGTGCCGACCAGGGAGAGGCCTGAGATGCTGGCAGCAGTCACGCTGCTGTCAGATTGGCTGCCTTCGGACTCCGACTCGTGGCCGCCCAGCTGCTCCACGGATGGCGTGGAGGTGAGGAAGGAGAAGGGATTTCTCTGTGACGTCTGATCGATCGCATCAACCCCAAAGAAAGGCCTCTCGACACCAATGCTCTGTGTGTCCTCATCATTTCTCCGGTCCATGTCCCGATGTGTGTCTCTGCTTTCCCCCCTGTCTTCATCCTGCTCCACCGCCTTCTCTCTCCTCAGCTCTCTGTGTTCTGCCATCATGCCCCAATTTCCGTCCTCCTCGACCTCCCAGTGAAGTTTAGGTGTGGGAAGTTTTTGGTTCGGACTTGGAATGGGAAGAAAAACGTCATCGTCACTCTCGTCCATCTCTAAACTGACTCTCTCCTGGAACTCCTCTCTCTCTTCTACCACCTTCTCCTCAGCTGCAGGTTCCTCCTGTTCCTGATTTTCCTCTTCCTCTTCCTCTTTCTCCTGCTCTGGCTCCTTGACCTCTGCCTCCCTCACGCTCTCCTCATTTCTACTTTTCCTCTCCCTTCTTTTGCTCCTCCCCCTCTCCCGTCCCCTCTCGGTCCCTTTTTCCGTCTCACTATCATCACTTCTCCTCAATGCGTCTCTGGGTAAACTCTGAGAGCCTCTTTTTTTACTCCTCGTCCTCCTGCTCCTGCTCCTCGTCCTTGCTCTTGCTTCCGGAGACATCTCCTCCAGCTCAGAGGTTGGGCTCCTTAATGCAGAGCGCCCTCCTCCACCCTCACCTGAGCCCCGTCTTCTCCTTCTCCTTACCGTCGCTCTCTCTCCCTCATGTCCATTTGAAGACCTGCTTCTCCTTTTCTGCTTGGAGCTGTGCCCCTTCCGCCCAGTGGAGTCTACTGCAGCCAAACCCTGCTCCTTGGGGTGACGCAGGGGGGAGGGGGAGGTGACTCTGTGCTCACGGCCTGGGCACATATATTAGAAAGAGAAGCAGGTGGAGAGAGGAGAAGAAAACAGACTGAATGAGCAGGTAAAATAAATCACATCTCTGACAGAGGGCTTTATATAATCTCTTATTACAGAGCCTACAATCCAGAAACTGATTGTTTTGATTTAGAGATTTTTTTTTTCATTAGGTACACTTGCGTAACAACAGCTGCTTTCCACTTCAGTGTAACATGCAGATAATGCATTTCTTTAAATAAGAAACCAATCTCCCAGTATCCTACATACATAACAGTGCTTTTCTCCTCATTAATAACACACTTACAAATAATAAGACTGGGGAGTCTACTCAGAGAAAGATCGGAGGGAACCAGAAAATCAGTGTAATATCACACATTTTTTAAAAATAGTTCTCTAGCTTAAAACCAAGACCTTCTTGTGCAGGAGGTTAGCAGTGGTGACTGAGGAGAGGAGTGTAGAGAGACAGAAAATGGGAGAACTAACAGGAACCATTACCAACCGCGTATTCTCTGTCCGTCCAATGACATAGAAGCAAGGCTCTCCTAGCTTGGAGTTGGTCATACATAGAGACAAACTGGAGAGCTCCACTGAGAGAGAGAGAGAGAGAGAAAAGGGAAGGAAAGGCAAGAAAGAAAAGGAGTAGAGTAGAAAGAAGTGTTAAGAATAGGAAATATGGAAACCCTCAAAGGCCAAATTCAGACGCAAAACTGATTAAAATGACCAAAGATGCAGGCGGGTTAGAAAAGAGGGAAACAGGAAAAAAGGAAGAGTAAAAAAGTATAATTTTTTTTGTTTTTTTTGTTAGCATCAGCCCCATGGAAATAAAGGAGAAAGGAGATAACACACCCAAGACAAATTCATTGCATGCCATTTTTATTCTCTTATATTTCCCCCACCCTTTAAACACATGGTGGTAACAACACTCACAACACTATTCTTAAACCTTCCCACTGTTTCTCACCATAGTCGGGCACATAACCGTTTCCTCTCTTGAGCACCAGGTGGATGCGGTGACCTCCTCTGCGGATCTGCTCCACCGCCTGGCTGTGCGTCATCCCTGCTGTGCTGTCCCCGTTGATCTCCACCAGCTGATCACTGACCTGCGACATAAAAACACAACAACACCCACGGCATTACTTTATATATATATATATATATATACTGTATATATTGTGTCTGTTTTAACCTTAATGTGCTTCAATAACCTGTAATAAAGAAGACACATAACAGCAATTTCAAAAGTCGTTTTCCACAGCAGACAAAAACACTGTTACCCATGACAATAACATCTCCCAGGGTCCCAGCAGCCTCATCCATGACGGTGTGAAAGTTACTAGCATTTGCAATAACCAACAAAACTGAAGATATCCATTGGATTTTTTTAAGATCTGTCATATTCCCAAAGTTTGAAGTTAAGTGTCGTCTACTGTAATGCGATGACTTTCTGTACTTGAGGTGAATTAAAAGGAAACTTGTTCACAGCAATGCTAGCAGCTCTGTCAAGTCAAATGGTAACATTGCTAACATACTAAATATATATATAAGTACTCAATTCCAAATCAATTAGGAATTGATAGAATCTTTCATTGGGTTAACTGAGAAATGTGTACACTTCCTTATTATTTATGTACCACATACAGACCTGAGATAAAACACCTGCACATGTAGAATTTGTTGACATACGTTGTTTAGAGATGTTAGTATGATACTGTATGTTGCCCCTCACTCAGCACTTTAAGAAGTTACCTCAGTCACCTTCTCAAGGGTACCTCTGCAGTGCTAAGGAGGAGGCCTGGCCCCTCTCCAGATATCACTACAAGACTGTCAAAAATGTGGTGTTTTTAAATTTAACAAAGATTATTGCTTCTTTTCCCCCTTTGAACATTTGATTGATTTGAGAGCTCCAATGAGGAATGATTATGAGAAAGACTGAAATTAAAATGATGTTTCTGTATGACATCTTAAAGCAAACAAGACAATTAGCAACAAGAGCAATTAGTAGACCCTAATATTGTTCTTAATGCCTGAAACTGCACCCGAGGTGTCAGACGTAGGGACATCACGCTTTTTTATATTTTCCATGGCGAAGATACATTTCACTGTAAAAAAGAAGCAGAATTAATGTTTTGTTTAAAGAAAAAAAAAAAAAACTTTTTGCTTGGAGGACAAAATTTAGCAAAGAAATAAGAGGTAACTCTTTGTCCAAATTGGCAATTAACAGAAGCAAAACCTAATTTAACTGTCAGGCTTAGCAAAAGCAACGCTGTAATTACAAGGTTTTTCAAAAACAACTGAATACAGATCAATTTCTTTGTGTTTAGAAATATATAAAACAAATGTCAGACTCTTAATCGATGACTCTCTGACTTTCAAGCATTATATTCAGCAACTTGTAAAGAAGCTAGAGTTGCGACTTTTTTAATTCCAGCAATGTCTTGTTTTCTTTCGCTGCATAAGAAAGACTCGTTGCTTCTCCCCGATTGATTATGGTGATGTTTTATACATGCATGCATCTTCTCAGAGCCTACATTTGTTTGGATACTGTATATCATGGTGCGCAGAAGTTCATAACAAATCTTGGGGATCTGACTCATCATTGTATACTGTATGATCGAGTTGACTGGCCTGCATTGTCTCAGCGTAGACAAAATCATTTGCATGTCCTTATTTATGGGGCTATAGTCACAAAACATAGTCTTCTTATCTTTTCCCAAAATGCGTCTTGAAATGGGGAAAAGGTGTTTCAGGAACACTGCTCCTGTGGTCCGGGATCTCCTGCAGGATGATCTGTGGCTGGGGGATCGGGTCTCTTTAAATCTTCAGTATACTGAAGGCGTTAGAAGAAGATGCTGCTAGTTGTAGATGCTTTGAATAATCACTTCTCTGCTCTGTGACTCAAAATATGTTGATCTGTTTCTGTAATTGCTCTGTGTTTTATGTCTGTAACTTGTTTGTTGTGCTGCTGCCCCTCTTGGCCTGGACACTTTAGTAAATTAGATTCTTAATCTCAACGAGGTTCTCCTGGTTAAATAAAAAAAATGAAATTCATTAAAGGCCTTTTGGAGGTTTTGCTTTGAAGGGTACAACTGCACAGTACAGATTAAAACACATTAAAGTGGAAGAGTATAAAGAGGATATGAATGAAGACAAACTGTGAATGCACACAGCAAACAAACACACCTGCATTTTGTGGCTCCGTGACGCCGGCCCCCCCTCCATCAGTCCCAGCACGTAGAGGCCCATGTTGTACTCGCTGCCACCTCGCAAGCTGAAGCCGAAGCCTGATGGGCCTCGATCCAAGTCCACGCTGTAATACCTCGAGTCACGCTGGGACACGAGAGCACAGAGGATAAGAAGGATAAGATGAGCGACAACAAAATCGTTTCAACTCAGTGATCATGAGACCCAAATGATTGATTCTGATACACCTCTCACCTTTGGACGCGATCTCTGACCCTTTCTGCTTCTGTGAGTGGGGTCAAAGTCGTTGGTTTCTGAAAGGCTGGAAGAATCTGAAAAAAACAAGAGGATCAAATTGGATTACAAACAAAGAATCAGGCTGTAGACTTGTTTGTGTTTCCTGAATACTTGTGTCTTTGCATACAGGTGCTGGGACGTGGGACAATGGTGAGGCGCAGAGTATTTCCCGCCCGCCGAAGGATCTGAGCGAGTTCTCGATGAGGCAGAGTCACCACCGAGCGTCCCTCCACCGCCTCTAATCGATCTCCAGGACGGATCTGACCACTCTTGGACGCCGGGCTGCCTCGCCGGACCGTCACAAACCGGTGCGGGAGTAGCGAAGCAGCTAAAAAGCAAACAGACAAATCAAAGAGTTATTATTACCTCAAACGGCCTTTTTCTTACTTATGAGTTAAGTAGTCCTGTAAAGTTCCAGTTGGAACACAACATCCCAAAAACTTTCCTTTTAACTGAATCAAGTGAGTAATAAGTGCGGTCAAATGTGGATACATTTAATAGCAGGATGATATATTTCACCTGTGTTTGCCAAAATTCCCAAAACAAGATGTAATTATGCTTTGGATCGTTTTTGGCACAGTTAACTTTATATATTACTTCCTACAGAAGCCCGACTCAACCTCCCCCACCACCACCACCACCCACTGTCACCTTGAAACACTCTCCTCCTCTTCCCCTTCATCTGCCCATCCATCAACCCATCTCTCCATCCGCTACCACGCGGGGAAATGTTATTTGCTGTTCAATGATTTGTCTTTCTCCTCGAGAAGTAACTGTCATGGAAGATGAGCTTTCCAGCACTTTTTTTTTTTTACTCTCAAGGACCTGTCAAACTTCCTGAAACCCCGGAGTGGAGACATCAACACTTCAGATTTTACAGAGTCAGTTTGAATTGCTCAGCTCCTTTAGGATCCACATACTTGCAGTCTGTCTGCATTGCTATGCCACGAGCATACAAAACACCCGCAGCAAGTATTCTATTGTTTATGCTTGCACCACAAAATGTCTTCCTCCCCTGTTTTAGAAACACTTACTTGCAGCCTTCTCCCAGCTCCTACACTGCACTAAGTCATCATGTTTACCCCCCTAGAAGGGTCAAAGGGGACCCATGAGTATTTTTTGTGAGCTTAAAGTGACTTATTAGTTGAGGCCTGAGGCACTCCAACAGCAACCTCCATCGTTGAAAAATGAAGCCAATGTGAAGGACAAAAAAAACTGCATTTCCTCTAGCGTCCACTTGAGGCTGGCTCGAAAAGCCCTGGGAATCTCATTATCACACATGTTAACATGCATATTCAGACAGAGACGGAAACATGTTAACAGCCTGGTTCAAAAGACATTTTCTGGTGGAAACATAATTTCTCTAGAGGTTAAAGCTGTGAATGAACAGAGGGAGAATCTGTTTGATTTCATTGAGGATAAGGCTTTTGCATAAACTTGCATAAATAGGGGTGTGGCTTATTGACTGACAGGTGGGCACATTTGCCTAGGAAGCTAAAGATCTCTCTCAACTGTACCTCATTGTCTGTTACTAGAAGACCAAAAGTTTGCCGGCATTCCCAGTAAAAGGGCGACGGCGTGGTTCAACTTCCAAACGACTCTTCAGAAAACAATGGGAGATATCACTGAGACTAACGTCTGTTTTTATACAGTCAATTGGGAATGTAAGTGTAGGAAAGTAGTGGACTTTGGTTTCCTGGTTTCAAAAGAGAAGCAGATGCAGATCTTTCCTAAATCTGAACTCTTTTTTTGACTGCACTGTTCACAAAAAGAAGTCATGACCACCTGTCAGTTGATTTATTACCACAGTAAACATTTTTCTAACTTATTTTATTTCTAGCTTCAAGCTTACTCGAATACAACAAATGTTTCTTTTAAATTGATAAATAAAGTTGGGTATGCTTTAAGGCTTGACATATATCCTGTCAGTCAGGATAGAGGCGTTCAAACAGTGACAGTGCTTAACCCTCCTTTTTTCCAAATATCGTCACTTTTAGATACTAAAAAGAAGGAAATGGCGATGTGTTCCTAAACCAAATAGGTATGTTACTATGGCTACGCCCCCTTCTTTGATACAGTTTATTTGTGAGGTTGGACAGTGGGCCACATGTCTTGTTTATACAGTTTGACTTGTCGTCTGCACATGAAGATAATTTACAGGAGCCCTGGTCAGAGTCTGAAGTTCATGAGAAACAGTATCAAGCAGCCTAAAAATAAATTTGCCTTCATTAATCTCCAACTAAAAAGCTTCTTGTAGTTTTTAGCCGGACAGTCTGTCTCTGTCTGCTTAGACATCTAATTCCATCTTCTGTTTCTCCTTCTGTATCTTAGTAAACTCCCAATTGCTCCCAATCTGACCCCTCTTTCAGGGTATGCTATGCTCTGCTCTGCTTTGGGTGACAGCTGGCTCCTCTAGAGTCTCGCCGGTGGCCTTATGTAACCCATCAGGCAGCAGACACAGAAACAAGTTTCTTATTCAGCTGAGGCACAGAGTCATTCTACATCTTCGGGAGATAACAAAATACTTTTTTGAACTCTCTAATAAAGTGCCACGGCATGATTATTAACAGATTAAAAAATGTAATTGATGGAGGCGAGGAATATGCGATGTAATGTATGTCACACTGCCGTTAAAAGGCAGAGTGTATTTCCAGAGACACATCTCCAATGTAGGCCTAATCTGGGTGACCCAGGCAGAAGCGGCAATCAGGTCAAATCAAAGCCAAGGCAGCTTTGCAAATAGTCTTCTTAACATGCATAATACATCGCTCCGGCATCAGCAGTGGCTAAACACATGAATACGCATGCAAAAGCCATGCTCACAAAAACACACACACACACACACACACACACACACACACACAGCATCATTTTGTGCACGCAGACACATGTACCAAACCACACACACAGTGACTCACACGCAGAGGGATTTGGACAGATGTACTCAGCCACACACACACACACACACACACACACACACACACACACACACACACACACACACACACACACACACACACACACACACACACACGTAGCTTAAACCACACACAGATGAATCCAAATGGACTGCTTTATATTAGTGTCTTTTCCTCTGGCTCTGCATGTGCTCCTGTCCAGAGTAATCCCGCTGCGGTATGCCCTGCGGCCAGCCAGCCTGTAACACTGCAACGATCACTGCTCAGGAGTGAAAGCAGCCCCCCCTTCTAGCCGTCGTAAAAAAAAAAAAAAAAAAATACCCCCCCCCTCTGCAGTCCACATGCATCAGCCGGTGCAGACGCCCCCCCCAGCAGCCTGCAGATGCCTCGTACATGTCGGACACCGGAGAGGGAGAGAGAGCTGTTGATCTATAGCAGGATCATTCATGCAGGAGTGTGCCGATTGGTTAATGCTGAACTCAGCACTGCTGAAGGTATCTGTCAGTCATTCATGTTGCTGCATGTGAAGCTCAGAGATGAAACACAGATCTTTACCACGTTATCCCACCATGTCGTGTGCTCTGTTGAGCCTGCACAGATTTAAAATGTTAAAAATTCTGTTCCTGTTGCTTTTGCTGCACAAATCATCCATGTAAGCAATATTTCGTCCAAATAACAGCAGCAGATTGATTTGACGCCCCCAAAACGTGTGAGTCTGGATCTAACTTTCGCTATGCAGAGTCAACAACACAAGCAAACTTCACAGAGTGCCTCACAGAATGACAACCTTTACCTCATGCGTAAAGCTCAACAGCAAGAAACATTGCACCAAACCATTTCTCTTACTAAACATGAAAGAATAAGTGGAGCGAATAATTACGTTTAGACTCCTTCACAGTTCTCAAAGCAGACTGTAACCTCTCCAGCATGGCTGTTTGATTAGCATGCGCGGAAAAAACAAAAAAAAACAAAAAAAACTCCTTATGTTCTTCTCAGGCAGCTTGAAGGTGTTGAGATTCACGTGTCGGTCAATAGGAACTAAAACATAGGTCCCCTCTGTTGATCCTCTGCAAGGGAAACGTTCAGTGTAGCATTTCTCTTAAGCATTCAGAGAGCAATGGAGAGAGCGGGAGGTAGGTGGAAGGCAGACGTATGGAGGGAGGGAGCGATAGAGAGAGGAAGAGAGAGAGGAAGAGAGAAACAGGCAGGGAGAGTTTTAATCTTTTGAAAAAAAACAGACTGGATGCTTTTACTGCAGAGTAAAGGGGTGAGAGAAAGAGAGAGAGAGAGAGGGAGAAGGAGAGGGAGACGGGGCGGGGGGGCGGGAGCTTGTGAAGGAGAGTGAGAGAGTGATGAGAGGAGGAGAGAAAGAGAGAGATGTGAGAGGAAATGATATTGGATAGAAATAGAGAGACAGAGGCGACTTCTTCCAGTGACACGACAGGAGTGATATGAAGGGGACAATGAGGAAGCAGAGGAGATGGAGAGTCTCCGGACCACTGAGACAGGTGCACCTACAACCTTAATTCCCCCCCCCCCCCCCCCTCCATGAAAAGAGAAACGTGTGCTCGCTCGGCCCATAACGCAAATTGAACTGCATCAAACTGGAACAGAGGGCAGCCAATACAAGACAAAGGCAGCGGAGAGCGGGTAATAACTCATGGGGATGCTGCGGTTAAATCTGTTATTCATAAGCACTGAACTAAGAGTCAGTAAGGGCAGGATTTGTTCCTTTCCCAGACACCATAAACAAGCCTCAACCTCCTGTCAGGTCAGGGCGGATAAAGAAGCTTACAGTGACATACAAGTGATACTTTTAACAAAAGGTCATTTAGCTGGGGACACACAAGCCGACAATTAAATTAAAGGAGCACGCTAAGTGTAACACTTGTTAACTTGTTATTAAAACAAATAGGCTGACATTGGAGTAAATATGCATATTTTGCTTTATGGTAATTTAATGTCTCTTCAATAGAAAATGGTTGTCTTAGCTTAGCATTAAAACTTGTAACAGGGAGAAAAAACTATCCTTTTTCTGTATGAGGACAAAACCTGAAAATAATTACAGCTCAATAGTTTAACACATAGTTCTTCTTTTGTCCAGTAAAAACAAAGTCTGGAAAAACAAACAAACAAGTTCTGTATTTCTGTTTAGCTAATAGTATTGAGACTGGAAACAGGGAGAAACAGCTAGCCCGGTTCTGTCAGGTAACTAACTGCAACAGATCCCTGACTTAACACCTTCTTATCTTGTTTGTTTAATTTATACAAAAACTCCTCATAAAAAGTCTAAAACAAAATTTTAAAAAAAAAGCACGTTTGGCTTTTCTGGTTAGCTTTAGCATTAAGACTGGAAACAGTGAAAATGCTAGCCAGGTTCTCTCTGAAGGTAAAGCTCCCCTCTAAAAGCTTACTTATTTAAATCTTCATGTCAAATTTGTTCTAATCCTACAAAACCTAAAGCTTTACAACAACAATTTAGCTATTTCTGTTAAGCTTAGCCAAAGGAAACATAAGGAAACAGCTTGGTTAACTCCTAATTTAACAAATCGCTGGAAACCAAACTCACCGATAAATTAATAACATTTTGTTTGTCTGATTAATACGACAACTGAAGTGTTCAAATGCATGTTGAAGTTTTATTGATGGTATGAGCCAGACCTTTTTTTTTTTTCTGCTGGGGGTTGTGACTTATGGAGTTTTTTTTTTGATGATGCATCATGACTCATCCAGTGGCATGAAGCCATTGTTACCACTTTTTAATCTGTAATTACTTAATGGTACGTTTGTCCACAAGGGCATCCAAATAAAACCTGTTTCCCTGGGCAAGACACCAGATGGTTCCATCGGGGGCCAGAAATGTCCAACTTCTAACACGTAATGCCCATCTAGGCCTCCTCAGATTAAATTATAAAAAAAAAAAGATTTTCAGTTTTGAAAAGTACTTTTTCAGCACTTTACTTGATAAAGTTGTTGCGTAATTTGATTTGTGACAAAGCGACCCACCTTTTCCATTTTCCACATCCTGAGAGGCAATGACGAACCCAAAGCCCTCTCCAGGTTTTCTCCGCAGCTCCACATCAAACCCTCTGAGTGGCCGAGTTCGTTCAACACCCTGACTCTCTAGACCTGAATCAGGGACTGTGACACCGCCCGCCTCTTCCTCCAGGCCCGTGTTGATCCAGTCTTTGGGCTCCATGGTCAGGGTCACTGGAATCGACTCCAAGAAACTGGTGCTCTGGATCAGAGAGGATCTCATCTTGGCCGGGGAGGGTGGGGTGCTGAGGGACGTGCGGGGTACAGGCAGAGTGTCTGGGAGCACAGAGGAGTTTTCTGAACCAACAGGTGGAGGAGGGGGCGGAGGAGAGGCGGAGGGAGTCTTCTGATTGAGCCGGGGGAGACGGTTGAATGATAGATGCCTGATAATGAAACAGAGACAAACTGTGAGATCAATTTAGCTACAATAGATACCTGTTTGTCTGGAACAAAACTCTGACTTTTCAAAGATTGTGAGCAAATTTACCTCCTCTGTAGACCAACAAGATGACTTCTGCCTGCCTGGTGTGTTCATGAAGAATTGTTTGTACCTGTAAACCAACAAAAAAAACAAAAAACATGCAACAACAAAGACTCACTGAATAGTAGAAAGTAATGATTGTATATCCTGCATGGTCTGGGAATGCCCTCACAGTGGAGCTTGTCAGATGGAGTTTAAACACAGAAATAGGAATCAAATAAAAAAATATTCTGTTAGTTTTCGGAGTAACCTTTGGAAAAATGACAAAAAAAGTAGTTAAACTACTTGAATAACAATTGAATTAAAATGTAGTTCATATACCGTGACAAGGAGCTCACTCCTCCATACCATTATTCTATTCTGTCTTAAATGTATATTAAGCCCAAAATCTACTGATTTAATCAATCATCCGTATTTATAATTTTTTATTATATTCTATCTTATCATATTTAAATGTATTTTTTATTTAATATTAACCCTTTTAAAATGGAGCCTCCGATCAAAATAATTTAGCATGATTGTACTTGTATCACAGGAGTGACAATAAACATCTTGAAACTTAGTCCTAACCCCACGGTAAGGAGGAAGGGGTGTTTTTCTGCGAGGAAAGATGAAAAATGTAATTATTACCCTAAAGTTTAGGATTGTTTCTTGGGTTTAAATTTTAATTTCTTTTGAAAAACTAGTTTTGTTGCTCAAGGCCAACAATACTTGTTCAAATGAACCATCTGACATGGTAAACAGTGGTTGAGATAAGCTGAACAAATCATGCTCCCAGGTGAAACAACTGTTTTTTATTCCACTGATCTCCCTCCCTTCTGCTCCCCCTCTACCTGTGAAAAGCTAAGGCTCTGAACATCTGCGCCGTTGATCTTGATAATAGCGTCCCCTGGCTGCAGGGAGTTGCACTGCTTCCTGTCCCAGACCCTCTTCACTATAGTCATCCTGCCTCCGGGGCCGCCGGCCGTCACGCTGAAGCCCAGCCCTTGATCTCCTTCACACTGGGCTAAGGCAACTGGAACCAGCTCCCCTCCGCTTAAACTGCCAACCCCACTGCCCATGCTCATCGCTCCGGGAGAGGACATGCTGCTCGGACTTGCAGTGGGGCTGGTGTTGCCATGGAAACCGTTGAAGCTGCGGTAGTGGGGGCTCTCAGGTGTGGGAGGAGGTCTGAGGTGCGAGGCGGTCTGCGGTCTGAAGACGTGGGCGTGAGCGCTCCGTGGGCCACCAGGGGAGGTCGAGGGCCTTCTCGGGGACTGAGGGAGGGGCAGGCGGGACCCTGACAGGGTGCAGGTGGACAGGTCGCTCTCGGACGACTTGGACGTGCCGTAACGCAGAGAATGTTGGGGCGTTGAGAGGGAGTTATTGTTGTGGTTACGGATCATTGAAGCCCTGATGAAAAGATGAAAAACAATGGAATGAGTTCAAATCAGAAGTGAATACAGTAAGACTTTTTAACAGATATTCTGAGGCTGAAATGCTAAGGGATGAATCCATCTCACATTTCTTATTGTGTTCGACACAATTATTGACTCTTTATCAACTTATTGTTGAATCGAGCTCAACAGAAAATTTATGAATTGTATGCATTGGAAGAAATGTGATATTTTGCTATAAATGAACATTTCAGTGATTTTCAAGGCAAAAAGACAAAAAGTTGCTAGATGAATAAACTTAAATGTGGTTATGTGCTTTTTTAACTAATGTATTTACACTCTATAAAGTGTCTTTGGACTGTTGTTTCCATTAAAGCTGAAAGCTGAAGTCATTGCCCTTTGGGAAATTGTAGTAAGGATTTATTTTTAATTTCTTCTTTTTTATCTTAAATACGACAATTCAAGCTTTAAGTTATATCCCAGAGGCATTTTCACTATAAATATTTAACAAGTAAAATGCCATCACAATAGAAAATTATAAATGACATAAATTATCACTGGGTAATTTCTATTTTTTCATTGAGTCACATCTGGATCTCATACAGTTGTTCATTTCTTCATTTGTTCATTTCATTGTATCGTGCTGAACCTCAAGATCAGGACAAAAACAACCTAAATTCAAAAATCCCAGGTAAACTTTCAGATTGTTTTTCTCTCAAAAAACTGGGAGATGTTTTGATGAAATATTCAAAAGTGGAGTTTTTACCTGTGTGAACCGATGGCTGAAACAACCTCACTGTCACTCTGGCTGGCAAGCGTAGGGTCGAACGACTGCAGCCTGGCTAACCCTCTGATGGAACGAGGGGGACGCATGGGGACGGAGGAGGCGGGGTTGCTCACACTGGAGCGTCTGTATGAGGGCGGTTGTCTGATAGCGAAAGACATGGCGTTTCCGTTAGCGTCCAAGGTCACACCTGGTTCCATGTAGCTCACGTCACTGTGGACCCCGTTGAAACTAAAGTGCTGGGGCTGGGGGCTGGGGGTCAGGCGGCGAGGTAGTTGGTGCAGAGGCTGAGGCTGGGTGGTGGTGGGTGGTAGGATGGAGTCTCCGCTGTCCAGTATCCGTGGCGGGGGTTGCTTGGGAATGCCGTCGTGGTTGTACAGCATGGGGTACCCTCTACTGACCTCGACATCCACTGTGTGACCCACAGGCACTGACTTGAGCATCTCTACCACCTCTTTGTGAGACACTCCCAGCACACAAACGTCATTAATGTACACGAGGATGTCCGCTGATAAACACAACAGAGACAGACAAAACTATTTATTATTCACTTCTCTTTTTTGATAATTAAAGCAAAAAAAGAGCCTGACCTAAATGAGATTTTTTGGATCATGTGAGGAGATTTTAGCTGGTTATGAAACAGACTGAAATTATAACTGAGACCTCTTAATGAGCTACACAAGCAAAAGAGAACATCGGGGGGAAGGGGATTATTTCTATATTGTTATTTTTAATGCCTTATTTATAATTATAATAAACTATAAACCAATTCTAGGACAGCTGATTGTCTGCTCAGCTGTGATGATGTGATACATGTGCTATGGAAAGTGTGGAGATTAATGTAAACTACGGCGTTGGAGGGCGCTCTTTAGTTCAAATTAGGCGATGACACAACTTCTAAATCGCAGCGAGCATTTGTTTTCTGTATTGTTTGAGCTGTACAAATGTCTATGAGGCTGACATATCCGTTATAGATCTGTATGGGTGAAAATAATATCTTCCAGAATATTTATGAGTCAGGCTTTCAAAATCACCAATTTTGCAATTTTGTAGAAAACGTTCACATCTTCATTTGTGTTTGTTTCAACTCTTCTGGCCTTTTTCTGTGCGCCAGTGTGCAGATAAGTGTAGTTTGTAAATGAGACACAATCATGTGTTTTGTGTGGGCGTTGACTAATCCAACCAACAAATCCCTCTAAACCAGCCTATTAACAGATATGAACTAGATCAGTCCCTGCAGAGACAGCCTGTGGTGTATGGGCTTGATAGAGTGGTAATATCTGCATGCCCGGGTTTTTGTGCGTGAGTGCTGATGTGTACCGTTGCATATGCACACGTTATGATTACGAGCATGATTATGGCGTGCTAGCCCTGAGGATTAAGGACTGATTGTGATACACACTTGCTGTTGGATATCAGAAGATGACAGAAGTATAATCCCAAAGAGCGGAGATGGAGAAGTAGGGATAAGATGTTGAAACACACAGCTGATTCAAATGTTTTGCTAAATTTCCAAGTTAGAGCTCTCTCTCTCTGCAGCTATGGAAAGTCTTGTACTATTTCTTAGTAACTAATGTCTTTGTCCACTTCTTCTGCATTTAGCGGCAGTATATTTTACAGCATTACTTTTCAGAGAGTCTTTTCATGCAACAGTGCCCCTATAATTATTGCAAATGTACCTGTCTTGAGTGCTGAGGGTCCACTTGAGGTAACACTGTAGACCTGGAGGAACTCTCTCGGCCTGCTGCCTCCGACAATATTAAACCCGAACCCTCTGGAGCCCTTTGTCAGGTGTGTGTGCACAGGGAAACCCCTGAGCTCCGAGGGCTGGTCTGTAAACCCTAATTGTTACCAAAATATAAAGAGACAGGGTGAGATAGTGATGATGCTTACCTCTGAGGAAACGTCATAACAGCCTTTAAGTCTTAATATACCATCAGAGTTGTAACACAAAAGGAGAGGAATGCCAACAGAATTTATGGTTTGTGAGAGTTAAAGAGAAGAAAGAGAGAGTCCGAATACTGCATAATAGTCGCTAGATGGCTTTTAACAAATAAAGTTAAAAAGAAATAGACCAGCATACAATCTCTGAAGAGTTTTGTGGAATTACTGAATTAAACGCAGCATTCCTCACAGACTCTTTCCTTAAAATAAAACCCATAATCCATTAGATTTATCCAATTCTGTATCTTTTCCACTTAATTTGCTCTTAGTTGGCATCTCAAAACCATGGAAAATTTGTATTAAAAAAATCAAATTTGTACCTCAATTTTACTCTTTTTTTTGTTTTTAATTTTGTAAAAATAATTTCAAGTAGCAGAAATATTTAGAAAAAATTGTCCACTCTTGAATGCTAAAAATGTAGTTTGTTCAAGATATTACAGCCATCATGTCTCCTGCAGGTACAACAGACCATAATGAAGATTATATCCCCTTCTGCTGGTGAGAGTAGTGTACTGCACTCTACTGAGAGGAGCTGGAGTCACAGCTCTCTAACAGATGGGTTTCAAAGAGTTTGCAATCAGCCATGTCATACAGACTTCAAAAAGTAGATTATGTCCTTGTTCTTTTAACAGAGAATCATGTGACCAAATTATGAAATTAAGTTGCCGGTCACATGCTGTCCACGTGTCGACCCCGCCAGCCTCAGCAGTGAGTCTGGCTCTTTGCCAGCAGCTCCGAGCTTTAGGCCTTAATCACTTACATGTCTCTGTTCAGCTAAAAAGCTCATTCCATCTCATTTGACTCTAACAAGCTGCCTCTGTCTCTTACTTCCGTTCTTGACAAATATGTAGCTTCATTTAGGTCCTTCAACGGTTTAAATGTGTCACTAGTGTTGAAATAATTACATCCAGAGAGAGAGAGAGAGAGAGAGAGAGAGAGAGAGAGAGAGAGAGAAGTGAACAAAAAAAGAGGCTCACATTCATTTTTGTAGACGGTCTCCCGACTTGAAGCTCGAGCACTCTGCCAGCTGGTCCTCTTTGGGTTGCGTCTTGGAAACACAAAGGGGGAAAAGCGAATGAAAAGCCTTCCTCTTCAGAAACATAATAGTATTGGATATGACAGCATTGGAACTCAACACGCTCAGAATAGAGACGCCTGCCAGTGAAAGTCAAGACAACTTTGCATAAGAGAAGGAGAAGCTCTTATTTTTTTTTGGTTCAGAGCACGTTGGTTTATAAATTCGGGAACAAGCAGATTGACTGGTGATGTGGGACACTCACCAGTCTGAAGTTGGAGCCATCAGACAGTTCAGAAGGTAACAAGCCTGTCTATGTGCCTATCTTACAATCCAAAAATTACATTAAACACACTTAAATTACATTTACAAGAGGTCATGTTTCCCCCCTCAAATACTGTAGAAACAGTGTTTCACGCTTCAACACTCTGTGGTTGGAATAAAAGCATTGTTTGGGCATGTGGTTATGCATCATAGTAGTGGCTGCTTGGCTTTATGATAAACTGAAATTAATGTTAATCATTAAAAATAAAATAATCACCTGTCTATGCCAGGGGTGAAGTATGGCCAAGGCTGACATGAAACACAATTCAGTGGGTAAACAGACACTTGGTCATAAGAACTGTCAATGTAGCATTAAATGACGAGATGTAGCCTAACATTTTAAATCTTAGGCGTGTTTTATTTCAGACAGAACCTGGCTTGCTGTTTACCTCTGTTTTAAGTCTTTATGCTAAGCTAAGATTGGCAGCTAAAAAAAAAACATGTTTTTTCTCATTTAACTTGTTTCAACGATTAAAGAAATGATCTGTGAGTTTTTAAAGGTGAGTTAACTTTCATACAAGCTAGCTGTTTCCCCGCTGTTTCAAGTTCTAATGCTAAGCTAAGCTTGACTGCTTCAACAAACTTGTTTTAAAATTGGTTTTTGAAGAGTTTAAACAAACTACATACAACATGTGAAGTGAATTACCTTAAGGGGTTTGAATAACTTCAGCCAGCTAGTGAGGCTAGCTCTTTCCCCTTACATTAACCTTTATGCTAAGCTATACCATACTTGTTTCACATTCAGTTTTTACACTAACTAGAAACAACATCTGTGACTTTTTAGATGTAGGTTTTAACTTTAGACAGAAGCAGGCTAGCTCTTTCCTTAACTCTAGTCTGAATGCTAAGTTTAACAGCAAATCCCTGCTCATTTCACATTCAACATTTTTTTAGGGCCTCTGTGAAGAACAGGTTGACACTCACTCTACATGGTGAGACTTTCCTGGGTCACTGAAGGCCAGCTCCCAGTGATCGGGCATCACACCTCTCAGCCTGGCACCGCTTCTGCCGCTGAGGATCCCGTTCTCTACGACACGACCATCCCCGCCGCTGGCCGTCCTGGGCCTTCGGGGGGGACCGATGGCTGTGTGGGACCCCGCCGCTGATGCCTATAGAGCCTCCTGTAATTAAAGTCACAAGAAAGAGTGTTAGAAATCTAAATTGGACAGGGATACATTATTTACCCAAGGCAGAAGGTGAAAAAGTTTCTACTGCAATCTTTTAACGACTAGATGGCAGCGATTCCACTGGGAGGACTGTCGGGCAAAAAGACCTGAGGTCAGCATCTCGGCTGGTGCTTTGTGATCCCTCTAAGGAGGCAGAGCGTGTCACCATGCATGCCACTCCACCGGCACAAGAAAAATAAGCATATTTTTTGCCTAGCTGTCCTTGTAGCTGTCCTTCAGCTGTGAGCCCCTGCATGGATCTGAGAGATGTCGGACACCACACGAGGCGTCCTGAGTCCTGCTGCACGACAAGTGCTGCCGAAGCCCTCCACCCACACAGAATCACTTCAGTAAGATGAGTCAGCAAAGGGCAGGGTGTTGGATGGCTCTCTCTTAAACTCCATCCTGCCTGCATCCCGCATTCAAATCCCCCCACCCCCCCAATTCAGGCTGCCTGCTGCCCTACCTGCCTGTTTGGAGCACTATCTGGATCTGTGCCTTCCTGTGTTTGTAACCTCCCACACATTTCCGCCTCGTCCTTATCTTGTGTATCATTCTGGCTCCCTGCCTCCACCTTGCCTAAATCTTTCCCTACCTGCTGCCACAATCACCCTGTGTCGATGGGGCGATGGTGGCCGTTCCTATCTAATCTCAAACCCTCCTGCTGTTCAGCTGTGTTCTGGTTTATTGTTGCCTCATTTTTTCCAACTCTCAAACTCAACACATTTATGATTTTGTCTGCACAGGTGCCTTGGTGAACAATGTCGGAAAGTACATTTTTATAGGTGCTACTAATTTGAAACCAGTTGATTTGCTAGTTGATGAAAGAATACAGTTATTGGCTGTCCATTAGCTGGCTCCTTTCCTGCATGTCATTCCGCACTCTCTCTCCCTTTCCCCGATTTCTGACTCTGTCCACTGTCCTATCTCTAAAGAAAGGCATAAAGCCCAAAATAAACCTTTAAAACAACATATATTTCCCATATGAAGATATTTAAATCTACTTTTACCATGCATGTTTTTTAATTCATTTAAATGATTGGTTTTAAAGAATTGTAAAGCTTTTACTCCTGCTCCTTTTAAATATAGTTATGTGTCTTTTAATTAGTTTTATTGCTCTGTAAGGGGCTTTATCTATTCAAATAAGCAGCCCTGTCTTGCTTCTAAATACAAAAAGTTTCTAAGGAGCCCTGTAGGAGCCATTGTCACCTTATAGCTGCAACATTGCAAACATTTATACACAATAATATAAATCAAAAACTATTTAGGTGAATCAGTCAAGCAGTTTTACTCCGTTAAGACAGTAAATTGATATCTTTAGATTGCTGATAAAGACATTTAATGGTGACATCTTGGCTTGATCAAACTATTTATTTTACAGTTCCCATCAGAAAATTTACCAAACAATAAACTGAATAATAAAGACAATGGCTGACAGACTAATACATAGTGAACATTATTGTTAGTTGCAGAAGTTTTCAGATGAGTTCTTTTGATCAGTTGATGTGAATCTTTTCTGCCAAACTGAGTAATCAGGCACTTCTTTAGTGCATGATGAAATATGCATATTACAGAGAATTACATCTATATCTACTAAATGTTGGTAATTAGTGTTATGTGTTTTAAATCACCTTCGCAGCTTCCTTTTTAAATGACCTCCCTGGGTGCATCCTCGCCTATCTCCTTACCTTCTTGCCTGCTCGACCTAAGGCAGCCTGACCTTCCCTTGGAAGTGATCCAGCGATCAATGAGGCCACAGCCCCTGTGAGAGTTTAGAGCATGCTAATCGTGCAGATGATTGATTCATCTGGGTATCAGAGACTGAAGCTATAGCTAGAGGGACAATGCAGTATTTAGCTGCTGGCTGCTGTGCAGAGTTTAACAGACACGTTTTCTTCTGTCTGAAAAACAACAATACTCTTCTTATGATGCTGTTAGCTATCGATCCGCTCTTATTTTCCCTTTAGCTTCACATTCTTGACCTTGTCCACACATGCTGTCATATACACAACAGTTGTAGGATACTTGCCTGACAGGCCCAAGTCCTCCTCACTGTTCTCGCCCTCCTCTGCAGCCTTCTCCAGGTTGCTGAGCGATTTGCTGCGTGTGCGGAAGTTTCTGAGCAGGTTGCGGTGTTCCTGGTAGGTGATGGGGGGGCTCTCTGGGCTGATGTGAACAGGCCGAGGGGTGCCGTAGTAATTCCCTGAGACCGAGAAGGAAAGGAGAACAGCGTCTTAAAATGGAACTCCAGTATGGGGTAGTTTATGAATTCTTTCGATTGGAACAAATCACCTTTCTTGAGGCTTCAGAACACATAATAAGAATCAATTTGGGAGAAGTTGAAATAATTCATTTAAATCACCTGTCTATTTGTTAATCTGTTCACATTAGTTACATATACAGTGTGTATATAAAAGTGTATCTCCTTTTATACCATGGAAAAACACACCCCATGTTCCCTATTTATTATCAATACAATTTTACTGTAAAGCAAAAAAACAAAAGATGGATTGAAGAGACAATATGATACGATACAGCAAGATACGATACGATACAATAAGATACAATAAGATATGATATAATACACTTTATTGTCCTTTGTGAGTCTGTCTTGGGATAAAAAGTGCTGCAAACATTCAGCTGATCAAGTGGACAATATTTTGTAATATGACTGTATTAAATTTTTATTTAACATTGTTAACATGTAAAATACAAAAAAACATCAACTGGGTGAAACTGCATTTTCTTGAAAGAATATGTCATAACTGATACAGAAAAAAATAAATGTCTGTGTTATGAATGAAATATCATAACATGAATCTTATGGTTGCAGGTAATAGAACATAACCTGCTTCAACATGTAAATAAAAACTTTATATTCAGATATTCTGCAGCTGAATGGGTTCATGTCACAACACACACATTTGTATATGTGCATTATGTATCCCCTGAGATCATCCTCTGTATGTGTTCTATATTCTCCGTCCTAACCATCTGCTCCAGCTGCCAAAGAACAAATTAAATTACCTCTGCCCCTCCATTTGGCTCAATGGGTTGGGGGGAAACATTAGATTAGTGAACCCAACAACAAGGTCACCAGCCGTCACCATTTTCTGCCGTTTCTGCAGGCGACTGAAGGGACAATGCTGCAGAAACCTCCGATTGCTATGCTGTAGAGATGTGCCCGTCAATGTCACATGTACGGCAAGCAGGGATGACATTCATTGCTCCCATTAAACTCTTATAAATTATGGATGCTAATGTATGGAGGCTTTTAATCAGACACAGCACTGTGACCCTTACTGGAGGAGTCTGCTGAGTAGATACAGGCTGGGTAACACCTGATGGCATTCATATGCATGCAGGGAGGTGGCTGTCCTTTTATGATCTGAGTAATCCTCATTTATCACAACAAAACATGTCAGTGTTATTTATAAGCAGCAACAACCATGAATATATAATAAGTAAGGTAAATATCCAAAAACGAACAGTTTTGATAGACAAGCTTGTTTGTCTTCTTATTAGTTAAAGGAGCAATATGTAACTCTGACACTCAGTGTTTAAAAGTGGTACTGCAGTCCAAATTCAAAACATAGGAGAGAGCTGTTTCCTCCCGCTCCCTCCTCCCTAGAGACGATGTATACACAGTTTGCCATGTCGCGGACACTGAAGCTTCAGTGTTTAGCCAGCTCTGCATCACTCTTGAAACTTTTCTGTTCTCCATTTTTCAAAAGCATCTCCAATATTTATCCTAGTTTGAGCACGTTTCTGCCCGTGGAGCTTATTCGTAAAATGCAGAGGCTTTTTAGGTCGGGCAGAATCAGTTATATCTGAACTAGTTCACTCGCCCGCTTCCATTGCTGCAACACCTGTTTGGTTTGAGATTTGCCTGGTAGCAGAGCGAGGGGTGTGCAAAAACGTGCCTTAAAACCGCCTCCCTTCTCTGGTCAAAACAAATACAGACCCCAACGTTCCTCTTCTTCCAAAGAAAAATGGGGCCAAAATAAAATGCTGCAAAACACCACCAACCAGAGATGATAAGAACTGCGGCCTGTACTTTTAGGGGGGGTTAAAATATTGCTGACAGAATGTAAGTTAGATACTGGTTCCTTATTGTAACCAGCTGAGTTTCTCTTGCGTTGGGAAAGTTCCTGTGGTGGAAACACAGCTTAAGTTGAAAAGATCCAACAAGTTAAAACCTCACCTTTGAACTTCCCACTCTCAAGCAGTGCTCCTGCCTCCTCCAAGGAGAAGAACTCCTCAATGGAGACAAAGTTGTAGTCTACTCCTGAGATTTCCCCATCTCTGGGCCGTCTGGTTGTACCTGAGAGAAGAGACCACAGGAAATATTTATGTCGTACATCAGAGTAATGCAGGCTGGAGATAATGCTAGCTCTTATGTTGATGATAAGTCAATTAGTCAAGACCATTTTTGTATCATAAGGGCTCATTAATCAGAGTTCAACAAAACAACAGTTCAGCAAATAAGTCTTCATATTTAATTAGTTTGACAAATTGACAATGACCACAAACAAAAGGTAGAAACTAATGGGATCTATTCCTGCTTTTATTAAAGCTTATTAAAGCAATCTTTGAAAGAAGCTCAAACACGAACATTGAGTGATAATAACAACTTTTACAAGTGACCTTTTTATTCGCAGCATTTTGCTGTTGATGTTAATTCAGTCCCAGAGCAACAGAGCATCCACCCACAAACCAAACTCTGCCCTTTGTTTTGAAGAGCACAATGATGAAAGCAGCCATTTACCATGCCGGCCTTCTTTATTATGAACAGATCAATGAGAACAGAATTAATCATTAATGAGGCGCTGTGAAAGTCCTAAAGTCTTTGTATCACCATCGCAAAGATGGAGCACTTGGATGATCAATGGTGTGTCATCATAATTGATTCACATTGACCTTGGCCCCGGATGAGAGCTGGGAGTCGAAAAAAAGCACAGCAAAAAAAAAAAGTGTCCCATCATTACAGAATCACAGAAGAAACCATTAAATTCGTGTGCAGGCATGTGGTGAGAAACACATCACATCTTCAAAGAACTGATTAAGCTACAAGACACCCTGTCTGACCTTGAGACAAGCAATTTCTTTCCCAAGACGGAATCACACCGAGCCCAAACTAAGGGCGAATCTGTGTCCTTCTCCTTGAGGACCACATGTGATGTCAGTGTGGAGCTGGCAGGAGGGATTCACACCCAGCTACCCTATAAAACCCATGATTAATGCACTGCCGTCCTGGGAGCCGCTCTCGCAGCCACAATGACACATGCAGGACAGTGAAGGACACACACACATACACACACAGTACTGGAAACACAAATATTAGAGAGCATGAGGGCATGGCACAGTCTGACCTCTTCTCTCTGTAGCACAAAGTGTGTTTAATGTACAGTCTGAGTCCCAGTTAGTCGCAGACGACGAGACACTTGCCTCCGATTACAGCTACAGTTGTAATGCCATTTTTGTTGTGCTAACTCCGACTCTCCTCTTTATATATTGTTTTATTAAACAGCCAAGGCCAAAGGCACGTTTCAAGGCTTTATAAGCAAAGGTTATGACATGGCCTCATCAAAAATCACAAAGAAACCTGTATATATATGTATAATATGTTTAGGGAAGGGTTGCATCTACCCCAAAAATGCACATCAATATTGTGTGAGTATGAAAACTGAAAGTGAAATGTATGCTAAAAATGACAAAGATGGTTGATTATTAACATTTTCCACAGCTTTTTTTTCTTTCTACGGCTTGACTAGTTGATTGATGGACTAACTGGAGTTTAGATTCCTATCCTGTGTACTTTGAAGAGAAATTACATTATGCGGCTCATTAGGAAACAGCCGGGTTCTTTTAAAGGGCGAGTAGAGGGCTGATGTGATTGCTCACCTTTTGGTCAACTCTGTGACATGCTGCACATCTTCACTCTGTAGCATGGGGAGTGTGTCTACTGTAAAGTTTGTGTCCTCATCCTCTGCAGAGGATAATGCAATGACCTTTGATTTGTTGCTTGCAGTCATATCCTGCAGTTTTTAATACAATTTTTGTCTACTTATAGGAAAGCAGATCAAAGAAAATCATGTTTCTAGACTGGAAATGACTAGATTGAATAGAAGACTAATGAAATAGATGGACTGATAGACTCACAAAAGACAGGTAGATGAGTTTGTGGTTGCAACTTTGTATTTAACTTATCAATCATTCTGTGTTTAGGATATAAAGATTATAAATATATCCAACCCTCTATATTGTAGAGAGCTGTTAAAATGCTAAATCTGACATAAGATCATGAGCCAGCTCAAGATAAGTTTTGCTAATGCTTTTGAGTTTAAGAGTTTAAATAATGATTTGTACTGTCCTAAGAACAGATCCTCACTTCCTGTTAAGAATCTAGTGTTTTTTTTAGATGTTATGAGCTGGTGTGATTGGCCATCATTTTCTGCTTTTCTGACCACTTTGCGCCACTTGCCTTGTATTCACAGGTTTGGTCATCAAAGAGAAACAATAATTACCTTCTTGCATGTAATTAAAGAAAAGCGTAAGTCTCTGACTAATTGCAGATGTTACGTCAAATCTCCCATGATGACACCCGACATGTGTAACTCTTCTCCGCCCCTCAGGACACACATTATCTCTGCAGCTGATATGGTGCGAGGCAGAGATTCATTATCTATGCACCCTCCCAGGAAATATATATGACATGTCAGTGGGGGGGGGGGGACAGGATGGATTATTGGCATCTTCTTCTTCTTCCTGCCTATCCCTGTAGGCGCCACACGCTGATCCCACAGGAGGAGGTGTGAGATAGAAATTGAAGAGGTAATTACACAGAAGCCAGTACCAACACCAAAAAGAGAGCGTTGTCTGTCAGGACCATCGCACACAAATAGATAACAATGAATCCCGCAGTTGAAAAGGCCACAGACGATCTGTGTGACAACGCTGGAGCGAGCGAATTCGAATAACTAAATGATGATGTTTTCTTATCTCTGACTCACTCTGAAGACAATTAGAAAAGTCTTTTATGGAAGAGGGGAAGGAAACGGAGCCAGCCTTGAAGCGGCGACATTGGGATTGAATCATTCAAGGGCACATGATACAAACGGTCTGTGCGATTCAACGAACAACGGTGGGAAAGTTCTTGAGGCTTATGTAAGATCTAAAGAACCTGCACAGAGAACAAGAGAGTGTGAAGTAGAAAGCTGCGTTATGTAAAAAGGTTTCTTTTACTTGACTGAACACACGATATACATTTACCTGCTCCCCCAAGGCTTCACAGTGAGTATCCTGTCTGCTTCAATATGAGCACACAGAACCATTAAACAGCCACTCCTGTACTTTAGCACTGATGGACATTTGCTTTTAATTGAATTCCTCACTCTAGATTGTTGATACAGTAGAATATATCCATTTTTATACACTGCCCTCATGAGTGAGCGTTTGTAATGATATTTCTTGCACCGGTGCCAGCTCAAACATCACAGCACATTGTCTCATCAAAAGGACTCGGGGATTGTGGTGTTCTTTAAATAGCACAGTCACAAAAAGCCACAGATTCAAACAAAGAACAAAAAGATCAAAACAGCACATAAAAACTGAGGCCTCTTTATGCTATTTCTGCTTCTCTAGAGCAAGAAACATTAAAAACTGAAACTCGCTTACAGAGGCTACTCAATTTGTATCTTACCTAACTGAAAGTGTTAATCACAGAGAGAACAATACAGCAAAGCGTCTGCTGAAACCAGAGGAACATACATGTGGTCCTGAAGGGGGCCACAAAGAGCCACTGATGAAAACTCCTCAGCTTTTGGTTCCTGTTGAATCAAGCACAGCTACCTCCTTTGAGATAACACAAAATGAAGACAGAAAATCTGCTTCTTTGTATCCACAACCAGCCTGACACGAGACGTGATGGCTTCCAAGTCGTCTCAGGATCAGGACAGCACGCGTGTGTTTGTGTCGGCATGAGAACAACAGCATCTTATTGGGTCGTCTCCAGCAGATCAGAGGATTACACACCCGGGGGGGGGGGGGGAGGCTGAGCCTGCCTTGTTGTCACTCTTACTACATGAAAGCAGTGAGAGATTGAAAGTTGAGTCCAAACTTTGACACCACATTCAGGGGAAGTCTAGACAGCTTGGTGTAATATGTCACAATAGCTTGCCAATAAATAAAGTGATATGCTGTGTCTTTAAAACACCCCTGATTAAACATTAAACTACTGATATCTAATTTTCTACATGACAAGCGTCTTTTATCCATCCCATTCTCTGAATCCATTCACTGAGACGGCTTAGAGCATAACTGTTTATTTAGGCAATCACTCTCCGAGCAGCAGCTTGTAGATGAAACAGGATGCACGCATGCATGGCTAAGTAATGAGAGAGCTTGATTTGAATAAAACTGCAATTATAGTCCGATATGAATATGCATGTTGTACGCTAAGAGACACAGTATTTTCTTCCACGCACCATCCTGGGAGTTTTGACCTGTGCCTTGTCCTGTCAGCAAGTGGGCTGTGCTGACAGACTGTCCCACATGACCTACTTCCTGGACTAAAGGAGAGATTAGCAGCAAGCCCACACTACTACGCCAAGGTTAAGACTACGGGCACACTAGGTGGTTTATAGTCTCCCCAATATAACCACCTGAACACAGAAAAAAGAAAAGTAATGACTTACGCAAATCAAACAATTACATAAAAGAATGCACATGTTTCTCAGAAAAGCCTGCACGGCTACTCTATCCTCTAGCTTTTTTCCAGTGACGTCATATTATACAGGATTAAGATGGCAACAGATGTACTACAACTAGCTGCGTTTGGCTGCCATTGTGCCTGATTTTATACTTAAGCATGAAAATGGAACAGGCTTCTTTTTCATGCAGGGGATCACACACAAAGAAGTGTACAATTCAAATAAAAACCTGTTAATCACATGACGAATATAAGGCCCAAAATAAAGTACATCTTCTTAAAACAAAGTAACTAAACAGCCACATGGGGCGGCTGTGGATCAGTGGTAGAGTCGGTCCTCTCTCAACCAGAAGGTCAGGGGTTTGATCCCCAGCTCCTGCAGCCACATGTTGTTGTGTCCTTGGGCGAGACACCAAGCGCTTTGAGTAGTCAGAAAACTAGAAAAGCACTAAACAAGCTCAAGTCCTTTTACTATTTACCAAAACCAAAGAGGTGGGCATGTTGTGAAACTGCCACATTTGATAAACACAGTGTTTTGCCATTAAAAATGTCCAATCTGACTACACCTGTGGCTCTTCCTCTCTGGCTTAAGCCCAATATCAGCTGTTATAGTCTTATAACAAAGCCCTGATAACATGTTCTTTCATTACTTCGTTAAATTATCTCTGTTCCTCTTGCATACATTGACAGGAGGAAGTGTGAGAAACAGCTCTGCAGGCTTAAACGCCAATTAACACCAAGATATTCACATGGTGGAAATTATAAGATGTGTTATCTAAGAATTAATGAGGTCAGTAACCTAAGAAAGATATGCCTGGATAGATTAAGGTAATGAAAACTGATTTTCTGATCAATTTTTTTCCCTTGATAATACTGATTCCAATACCTGGACTTAGTTTTTGCTACTCTGAAAACCGTACAATAAAAAAAAAAAAAGTGATTATTTCCACGCAGTATACTAGAAACCTGTTAGAATGGCCCGGTTTAATACACTGGTACAAAACTTTAAAGAGGACATATTATACCCCCTTTCCACCTTTTTAAACAGTCCCCTGTGGTCTAAATGAAACATCTGTGCTGTGCTTTGGTCAAAATATAACATGAATCAAGCACCAGAGGAGGTTTGTGACCCTGTATAAACCAGCTCTCTCAGAACGCTCCGTTTTGGTGTGTGTGTGTCTCTTTAAATGCAATGAGCTCCCCCTCAGCTGCGGGGTGTGCTGACTGGTGCCGACGAGTTCAGCTATTAGCTTCCATGGCAACTTGTCAGCGTGCCCCCCTGCGAAAAACATGGCTGGGAAACAACACAGGAGGGGAGGGGATTTTTTTTTTTTACCAGAATCCCACTGTGACATCACAAGGAGAGCTCAATTGAAACTGAGCACTTTTCTCTGTGTTGTAATACTTATTCTTACTACAAACAAAGGACTGGATGGGTTTATTTCACACTCTTACCCAAATATATGTTCAAAAACAAAAAAACAGAAACACTGTAAAAGTGGATTTTTCATAATATGTCCCCTTTAAACAAAACAAGCAATGTGCCTATAGAAAACAGGCTAAGCTAATGTTAGCGGCAGCTTGACGTCCCTTGTTTGTCTGAAGTACATCTTGAAATTCTGACATAAAACAGGTTCATTTGAAGTTTTATGAGTTTATATTATCTGAAAATCAAATAAAAAAATGCTTTCTATTCTTACATGATATCTGATTCTAAAGTTGTAGTTGCAAGTGGATGGTCTATATTGTAAAAACAATATGGTTGTTAAATAGGAGACAGGTTTTTGTTTTCTGAGGCTAATAAGTAACGGTATCCAATTACGAACAAAGACTCTCGACACTGGTGTCTGTATCGAAATGACTCTAAAGGTTAAAAATGTAAATCTATATGTAAATGAGCAGATATCTGCATAGGAGTTGTAAAGCACTAAGAGCTATGAAGACAAAGTGCAGAGAGATCCAAAAAGAAAAAGAAGCACATAATGGGACTCACAGGGTACAGCTCGGAGGTAGAGGTTCTCTCTGATGACCTGCTGAAGTTGGCTGTCCACTGAGCCGGGTGTGAAGCACTTACTCAGATACAACCTGAGATCCTTGCACAATGTGGAGCCTGAGGGAAGGGCAAAGGTACGAGCATGGTGAGGAGAGGAAGAAGCAGAAAGAGAGAGAGAGAGAGAGAGAGAGAGAGAGAGACGTTAAGGAAACAGCTCAGTAAGCACATCACTCTGATGATGCATATTTACTAAGATTTGTTTGTTGCCTGTCCAATAGAGACTGAAATTTATATAATGTACTGATCTTTACTGCCAGGCTTGATTTAACGCCATCATTTTACAACCTAGACTTCCACATTCACTCTTACTGATATCCCTATATCACTTCTCATAGATCCTGAATATAAAATGTGTTTCCCCGAGTACCTCATGCATACATAACAACCCGCTGAGGTTAATTGCTGCAGACACAACAGTCGAGGCTGTCACCAAGGGAGGCAGAGTTGATCATGGGGGGCTCAGTTTCCTCTCTCTCATCTCTTAATATCATCTCAAGTGCTTTATAGCCTCTGATGACAGGTCACTCACTGTTATGGATCGGCTGAGAGCTTCTCCGGGTTGTCACTCTGACAGACTACCGCTCAGTCTGTGCTTCCACACCCTTGTCACCCCCCCGACCCCCACCGCCTGTTACAGTGGTTCTGCCTGGTAGCAGACTGAATTTGTGCTGTGCGCCATTAAAAAAAAACGTCACAATGTTATAATTTTATTAGTGGAGCCAGTCAACTGCGCGTAGATATTACTGGCTGCATACGGCTGCCGCCCGAAATGAATCCAGCCAGCTGCCTTTTGGGAGATATGAGGGTCTTTTGTTCATCTCGTTATGAAACAGCTGCTATTTTCTAGTCTATTAGACCTCAACATCAGCTCTCAAAAATTGAATGAGCCGATATCTCGTACATTGTGCAAGACAGGCGAGCATTAAGGAAGTCAGAAGTCAAGGTTAATAGCTACACAAAGAAGATGTTCTACAGTGCCTTACATAAGTCTTCTTCCCTCTTGGACTCTTTCACATTTTATACCCTGTTTTTCAAATTATACTACTTATTTGGGCTTTTTACCACCTGGTGAACAATCAGAGCAGTTGAACAAGCAGCCATCTGTGGATGCACGAGTAATAACCCGAAGGCAATAAGTTTGGCACCTGATCTAAGTTAAGCATTGCTTATTATTTTGTAGTTGTTGTTTTTTTTTAAGTTAACCATAAAATTGAAAATAGAAAAAAATAAATCAAGAGCAGCTGTTAAAACAACATAAAAAAAAAAGTAAAAGATATGAGTGCCAAAATAAGAAAGTTGTTTTTTCATTACAATTGAAACTCTAATCACAAGAAGGACATAAACAGCTTTGCTAATTGTTCTGAAATGTTGTAATCAGTAGCAAAAGTCAATTCAAGTGTGAGCAAGATAATGATAAATAACAATTGAGAAAATGGAGTAGCTATAAATAAACACATGTTAATAGCCTACTTTTACCTTCTCACATTTAGCCACACTTTATTTTTCTTGACTATTTAGTGTCAGCCTGTTACTAATAACCTCAATACAATCCATTTTAATTCAAAGTTGTGACACAACAAAATATGGAGAAGTTTGGGGAGGGAGGCCTAAATGCTTATGCAAGGCTCTGTAAACTTCGGCTCTGCTGGCAGAGTCCACCGAGTGAAATTGGACCTGTCATATCACTACCCTTTGTTTTTTTTCCCCACAGAGCAACAGTATTAGTGCTTAAACCTTTAACCTGCAGCCTGCCTCTGGAGAATGCAGCCCTGTGTCCTGTATTTGAGCCTGAACCGAAGCAGAGGGAGTTGTAATAGTAGCAGGAGTAGGAGGAGGCGTGGTACAGCAAGCGGTTGCATCAGCTCATCCATCACTGTCCACACCACACGCAGTCGAGCTGCAAGGGGAGGGGCCAGGCGGACTTCAGAAATGATAATGGATCTCGCAGCAGCAGTGGGAGCCGGAGCAAAGGTCCCCATTTACACCCCTGCGGCCAAATCAGCTATCAATCTGGTCGGCAAGGCCATCGGGAGCCACGGCCAGGTGACATCCCGGTGACATACTGCTCTGTTCAGAGCGAACAAAGACATCCGTTACCCCAGCCCCCCCCTGATCTAAACATCAAGGACCCCTCACCAGTGACAGACAACTATATTGCCTCGCTCTTGTCATGTGTCACCAGCAAATTTGACCTCCTACCCACATATTGACCGATTGCCTTGACATATCCGGACTAATTGACAAGTGCAAATCAGGCATCAGAATGCTCGAGGCTGCAGATCTTGCTTGTGGGAGTCAGCTGAGCTCGATTTTTTATGAGTGACAGCCTGGACGCTAGGGTAACACATTGTTTGGGAGTCGTCCAATGAAGTTAGGTAATCAAAAAAAAGCAACAAGTTTAACTGTCACAGTGTTGGGTAACAAAGCAACATCACACAAGAGCGAGTGCTGTTGTACTGAATATCTGCATGATTGAATATTTAACTATAACAGAATCACAACCATGCTGATATCCACTAACACAGCCTCCGTCTTGTTTTTTAACTAAACAGCGACTTAAATATTATTTTGTGCTTGTTTCGTTATTTTTTTTGGCTACACCAACACATTGAGCTCCATACCATGACTGAAGCTGACCTAATGCCAAGCACAACATAAACATTTCCCTGTGCTCTTTCTATTTTGTGTAAGACTAATCATTTCACCAGACCCTCTACTTTTAATTATGAATCTGCTTTTATTTATCATCCACCAGAGAACCACACACTGTTCAGTTGCATTGGTGGACAATGTGAAGGGGAAACCAGCTTGATCAATTTAGACTATTTAGGCTGCAGCATCAATTTACAGAAGTCAGAACACATGCAGCAGAGTGACACGCATCATAAAAAGTCCCTCCCTGCTCTATATGAGCACTCTTGGACTGCCTCTTGTCTAAACAAATCGCTCAGTCAGAACTAACTGTGAACACATAAATACAATTAGCAGGAGGAAAGGCTTTGCAGTTTATTCTGTCCACACCTCCCTTGACTGCTGATTATTTACACCTCCCAGAACAATGAAACTGCAGACTAATTTACAAGGCTGTGATTTATTAGAGTGCTGAGTCATCGTACCTGGAGACAAGGTTTTGATGCGGATGGGATGGGAGCAGGAGTTGAGGACACCCCGGACATCACCTAATGTCATCCCTAATACTGGTGTTCCCCCGATCTCTAGGATGATGTCACCCACAGTGAGGACGCCTCCCGGAGCCGACGTGACGAAAGGAAACTCTCCATAATCTGCTCCTCCACCGACGGCGATGCCCAGCTCACCTGACGAGCCCAGCAAGGGGACGAAGCTGTCCTGCACCTTGGAGCGCCAGTGCAGCTTCTTCACCGCTGTCTTAGACATGGCGAATGAGCTGGGGAAGAAAGGAAACAGAGTTGGAGACTGAACAGAAGGTAAGAGACTGTAACAAGGTGGGGGAAAGTGCCAATTACATAACAAGCTGGAGGATGATCCTGTGACTGCAGGCAGAAGGTTGTTTTGTTATTCAACCTTTGTCAGTTCTTGATGCCTGAGGTCTGTGGAGTGTTTCTGCTTCACATCAAAATGCATAAAAGTCAAGAATAATTGCAGCTTCACAAGTTTGGACATTTTCTATGAGAGTTGGAACATTGCAGAACCGTGTCTTTGTTTTGGGCAACAGCGTGCGTGACTGTCCAACCAAAAGAAATTCACAGACATTCCCTCATGTTCACTGCACTTGCTGCAGGCTGACGTCGTGTTTTCATGTAAACACAGGAGTTAGTGCACATTCCAGCACATTTTGTGTCACATGGGAAAATCGAGTTTGCGTTCAATAAAGTTGCGGGTCATTGAATGCACACAGGCTTAGACAGGCAGGACAAGAACCTGTGGCTGCAGTCTGACAGAGTACTCGGAGTCGTTTCTTTATCTGCACTGATGTACGATGCTGGTACACAAATATAGATTTTTATAGATTTTTCAGGACAATGAACAATGACCCTGTTTGTTTGCAAAGTGTATTTCCCAAGACGCATTCTTCAGTTGTCTATTCCATTGCAGTGTGAAATGACGTGTTTTGCGTACTGATTAAAGCTCCAGTTGCTTCAAGGGTGACCAGTCCTACTGCAATTGAAAATAATGTGTTTTGCTACATGTTTCCTAGGGAGCAGCTGTGTGTGTGTGTGTGTGTGTGTGTGTGTGTGTGTGTGTGTGTGTGTGTGTGTGTGTGGGCTGAGGATGTAGCTGACATGGTGAAGATCGGTTTGAGTCGACAGTGACTTGACAGCTGCGTTGTCCGGAGAGGGGCGGACAGGGTGTCTCTGACATTATCAGAGAAGCACTGTCACCTTGACGCACGGTGCAACAGAGATGCACAAGGTAGGAAACAGTGACATGCAGATTTTTATACGGAAAAGGCCTGATATTAAAGGAATACTCTGATATTCCAGGCAAAACATTTTATTTGCTGTTTGCCATGAGTTAGATGAAAAGATCAATACAAATCTATAGTCTGTTCATCTAATAAAGCCAGAGCCTGGGGGCTATTTAGCCTAGTTTAGCATAAAGGCTCCATGGATACAGGTAGACGCAGCGGGACTCGTTCTACTTGACAACAACTTTAGAATTCCCATAAATGGAAAATAGATCATTAAGCTTACATTTCACATCTATAAATTAAAGATGCCAAAAGAAGTAGATTTGCAGCTTTTTTTTAATGATAAATACTTTGTAACTCCTGGTCCATTAAAACAAACATAGAAATCCCTTTGAAGCACTCTCGGGTGTGTGAGAATCTGCATCCAATGAAATGCAATATGGTATTCAAGTCCCTCCCCTAGGATTCACAGGAACTACAAGCTAGCTAACAATTGTGGGTCATAGCTGTAATGTTTGAATATTGTCTGATTCAGTGCTATTGGCAAATGTGAACACCCATCAAAATACAAAGCATGTCCCACCTTATCTACCTGTTTTAAAGGGAACCAAGTCAGTATGAAGAATATAATAATACCCTGCTATAGGGGTCCTTCTCGGAAAAAAATGGGAAGAAAGGATAATATCGTATGTGAATTTCATTATCAGTATATATATCAGTATTTACATAAAGTCATATTTTACACATTTGTTATGAAGATCAATCAAACTACATTTGTTTATTCATTGGTTAAATTCGAAGTCGCTGTTATGTAGAGGTTTTTTTTTTATGTTGGACCACGAGGCAACCTCCAGTTGTAAAGGGAAGCCAATGCTGAGGTGCAAAAAAAAGTGTGTTTCCTAGAGTGTCCACTTGAGGTTGGCTTCAAACACCAAGGAGCCCCCATTCATAGCTTTCACAAGACGTCACACACTTATTGAGCCGCCCAGTTAGTGAGCAAGAAAGGCTTCCTACTGCTGTATGCTACAGAGAAGTTATCAGTCTCAGTTGCCACCTGCATGTTTTTATCAAAACAAATTCAAATGGTAAATGGACTCGAGCTTGTATAGCGCTGTTCTAGTCTTCTGACTTCTCAAAGTGCTTTTACACTGAACGTCACACCTACACATTCACACACTGATGGCAGAGGTTGCTTTGTAAAGTGACCATCGGAGTAACTAATCCCAGTCATACACACTCATACGCCACAGGCAAATCAGCAGGAGCAATTCAGGGTTAAGCGTCTTGCCCAAGGACACATCGACATGTTGCTGCTGGACCCGGGTCATCGAACCCCTAAGCTTTCCGTTGAGAGACGATCGACTCTACCAACTGAGCCATGGTTGCCCCTGGCTGTATATGGGAAACACACAAAGGAGGGAAGTAACTCTGGACATGATACACAGGGGCAAGAACGACAAAATAAAACAGGAAACACTAACGACTAGACTTGAAAATACTACAAATCAAAGTATACACAATGGAAACAAGCAACACCAGGGAAGAATGAGTGAAAATAAAATAGGAGATGAAATGTAAACACTGAAACAAACACAATACAAACTAAAGATGAACAAACATGACATCATTAAATTTTAGTATAAGCAATTTATAGCCTTATAAGCAATATTCCTAATGGACAGAACTGATCTCAGAAGATTAGCATCATCACTTCACAAAGACCCAATCCTCTTAACCAGTGTGTGTCTATCATGACCCTCTGATGGGTGGGGGTGAGTGAAACACCACCACCACCATCACTATCAGGATCATGCCGGGTCCTCCACCAGGCCTCATGAGACTGCTTTAAAGAGCCAGAGAAAGACAGGATACAACTAATCCTTTCCACTTGAGTGGTCATTGGACAGGAAGATCTGACAGAGATCTTCTTCTCCATCCTCTCTCCTACTGCTCGGCCAACAGAGGGGTCTCACGAGGGTTATTCAGAGATGGACAAAGAAGGGAGAGTAGGGCAGAGAGAGATTAGAAGATAAAAAGCAGAGGTAGTGTAAGAATGAAACGTGTGGCTATGAGTAAGTTGTTCCGTTCAAGTCGTGTTGAATCCAGTGTCCATGAAGGTAAGTACACACTAACTGATAAAAAAAAAAAAAAAAATGAAAAACAGCTCTTCCCTTCTGGCTGTAATGTGATCCGTTTAGACCACTTAGTAGAGAGTAAATAAAAAAGATCTTACTCAGTACTTTTTCTGTGGGCTGATACAACAATTTAGTCATCTTTTTTATTAAATATATGTTTTTTTGTTAACAATACAGCATTTCAAATCTAAACACTGGCAGATTAGGGGACAATAAAAGGTCTCATATCATTTCATATTGTGTTATATCGAATCTTGTCGCGTCAGGTCGGGTCATGTGGTAGCGTATCATAACCAATCCAATCCTGTTGCATCATAGATCATCTGTAAGACCTGGCTTTTGGTGTTTTTATCAAATGTGTGTGTGAAATTAATTTCTTCTTTCTTTCTTTTTTCACAACACCTCATGTCATCATATTTTTAAATCACCATTCAGCCTTAAGCAATGAATTCATGTGGGGCCAAATATTGCATCTGGTCTAGTAACGTTTTGGGGAAACAGAGATGACATAAATTAGAGAGGAAAGAAAAAGTAGAACTACGGAGGTCATACAGACTTCATGAGGCACCACACAGTGTGAGGCTGGCATAGGTTCTCTTGTTTGACCTTACAGGACTTCAGCACAGACGGCGTGAATCAGAGGTTGGAAATCAGTCGAGCTAGTTTCTATACATCATTGGGTTTAAATTACTGTGAACAACCAACAGCTGTCACTGTAGTTATTTGCATAGTTGAATACAATACAATCAAACATGGAGGGGGGAGGGGGTTTATAAACGCATGTCTGAACCTGAAATTTATCTTAACACCTCATCCTTTGCCAAACACTGCCCCAGTCCCTCCATCTCCGCCCCACTGTGAAACCTTCTGCAGTAACACTGTCGACCGGCCTGCTATCCATCCACCCACACAGAGTCACAACTTGCACAAAGTGTGTTGTGAGAAGAGAATAAAAACAAAAACATCAACTTTTTCCGTGATAACACAACATTTCCCCACGTTCATGAATCTGGAATAATGATTCTGTAAGCCGTTAGTCTCTTCATTTCATGTTTTAAGATTTCTCAGAATTTCTCAGCAGTTGGCAGGAATGATTAAAATGCTAAAAATAAAACGACTCATAAGTCTTGGGTATTATCCTGTCCTGTTCGGCCAGCACGGTCACATTGTGTGTGTCCACATTATACTCATGTAGGAGGAGTGTGTCGCCATCGCAGTAGCTGTTGTCTTGACCTCGTGCGTCTGACGGGGGTTTAATGAGCCACAGCCTGTCAGGCCCGCTGAAGCCCGGACACGTCCCGCAGCAGACACACCCTGACACCGCTCTGCTCGCTCTCTGCTGCTGGTGTTGATGCTACAAACTGGCCCTGTATACTCATGTTACTGTATGCACATTAAACACGATTTAAGTAGACGATGAGGCTGAGGAGGGATGTACTGCTGGTGGCAAAAGGAATTTTATTGATTCAGAAAGTTGCATAGTGCTGTGTAACTCCACTATAATTAATCATCAGGAATTTGCTAAAAAAAAAAAAAATGAACCAATAGGATTGCCTGAGATAATCAAACTAAAAACCTAAAACGTAAAAAGCCTCTGCAATTTTCTATTTAAAAAAAAATGGAGAGAGGTTAGAACACAGAAAGGTTTCAAGGTTCCTGCATCAACTGTAGGGTGGAGAGGCCCGGGAAAGACATCCATCTTCAATGTTTTGAATTTGGACTGCAGTACCCATTTTAAACACTAGGTGTCATACTTACATACTGCTCCTTTAAAATGTCTGTTAAACTTGTGTACAGCCTTGTGCACAAATAAGTTTCGGTCTGATTAGTTAATGTCTTTATCGGCACACACTGTACGTGGGGTCCTTTTTTTAAACTTAA